GATATCAAAAAAGTACTCCAGAGTGTTGTTCAGCATGGGGGTGAGTAGAAAATGAAGGCTAATCATGTTTTGGGTGTACTATTCCTTTAAAGCAGCAGGTTAGGGCAGCAGGATGACCTCCCCAAGATGGCGCCCGTAATTCCTGCGCAGCGACAGTCAGTGCGGGGTCTACTACGGTGAAGAGCGTAGTTAACCCTTTATAGGGCAAGTTAACGTTTTTGATCGCTTACAAATACCCCCCAACCGTTTTCTGAATATATTTGGGAAGTTTGCGTTTATTGTTATTACATTTAAAAATTATTTTTACCATAAAAAATATCCATATTTTTTTAATGTTACAAAGGAAATAAGGTCTGTTCCTGGATTCAAAGTATTTCACTGAGCGGCTAATAAAGGGTTAATCTGGTAGCGGATAATAAAGGCATCCGTACAGATGCCTGTTCAAAACTAATGAACCATTAAGAAACATTTATTAAAAAGTTATTTCAATGAACCAGATGCACGTAGCGCGTATATTAGGCCCCTGCAGAACATCTGAAGATTTAAAGTGTCTGAAATGTGAGCGGTTATTAAAGGGAGCGATCTGCTCTGAGGGAAGGCCCAGTCTGAGCAGCTCAGCGCTAGGAAGGAAAAAAACAAAACAATGAAGGAAGTGGAAAATGTTCAACAGAGCAAATCTGACATTCTTCCTTCAGAGGACAAAGTGCGGATGAAGCAGGTCGGCATCCAGCGGCCGCAGAGTGACGGTAGAAACCAACCGGCTGGTAAGAAAAGCTCTGATTGAAGCTGCTAGCTGTTAGCTGTTAGCTTAGAGGAGATCTGAGCTGATAAAACAGAGTCTCTGTGGATCATTAGTGCTTTAATCACAGCTAAGAAGATATTTTCCCACGACTCTGGATGGGAAATTATTGAACTGATCTTTCTGTTCTTTCATCATTAAGTTCTGATGAACCCTGATGAGCTGAAGATACAGCAGAGATCAAATAAACATGTAGCATCCCCAAAAAAAAAGCTATTACATCTAAAGAAAAGATGTAGAAACAAAAGCTTTAATGACCTGCACCGTTATTCATCTGATAAGATCTGATATCAACCTTTCCATGTCAGGTTTATAGTTTCCATGTGCTTTAAGTGTTTATCTTTTTATTTGGTTTTCAGTCATTTTCTACATCTGGGCAGGTAGCTGTTCTTTCCTCACATCTGTTAAATACAGAAAAGTACAAGTTAAGATTTATTTTGTTGTTTTCATGTCTTGAACAGTCAAAGAATAAATTTATTTATTTAAAAAAAAAAATAAATCAGCAGGATGGGGTTCAAAGGTCGTGCTCAGAGACCCAGAGTAGCAGGCTGTGGGAGTGGGGCTCGAACCCAGAACCTCTGGATTCCAGGATCTATGTACTGTAGCTCTATGCCCTAA